TCACTGCCTTCTGCCAAAGGGGTTTTGGTCAGTGAGTGATGAATGGGTGTAGACTGAAGAGAGATTTACGTCCACTCTCCAATTAGTTTAAACCATTGTCAACACACTAGATATGCAATAAGGAGGAGAGGATCAGGTTCACCAATACTGTGGGAACCTGCCCACATAGAAATTCTCTCCCTGGGATGGGAAAAAATGCCTCTGTTGCAGGAAACCGTGCAGTTAAACCAGTTTAAGTATACTGTAACTTAGCTAAAATGCTTTTTTCCTCCTACTAAATGATTTGGAAACAAGTGCTGATTTTTTTTTTTCTTCTGACCTACTTTTTATTAAATTGTATTAAACAAGATTAAGTATGCATTTGCATCAGCAACAACATTTCACAGTCAAATGCCGGATGACAGAAAGAGCTAGCTTACTTTCTCTCCAATTCCATGCCATGAATCAGTGAATTAATTTACCAGTGGATGTGGAGAACAGTGTCATGAAGCCTGTTTTATAACCAGCCATCAGTGGTGTGCAGTGAAATTCTTGTAATGAGCAAATTCATCAGACAAACAAACTGCTCTGAAATTTGAGCATTGTAGAAAGTGGAATGAGAAGTCCAAATCCCAATTCCTGAAGGACAGTACCTGCCAGTATTGACTTATATGATTTTGGTTTTTTGGGGACACTTCATGATCTATTATAAAAAGTTCCTTTATTCCTGTGAATAATTCTTGTGACACTCAGTAAAATAACTTGCACAAGAAGTGCTTGCTTGACTAAGAGCTACAGAATTGGATCCTATGGGAATGACTTCAGCAGAGGTTCCTAAAGAATTCATCATTCTTAGTGAAAATCGTAGACTTAGTTGATTCGAAATAATGCAAAACTATGTGCTATTTGTAAATATTTACCATCACTTAGTATATATTTACCTACAGCAAGCATCATTCTCAGACTTATTTCAATGGAGCCTGAAGCCAGAGAGAAGCTTACACCTTTCAGTTGACCGCCACAGAGGCCCTGAAGTGAATGGATAGAAGTAGTCAGTCATGTAGCAAAGGCAGAGAAGTCACCAGTGCAGCTGTATGACAGAGAGTGGAAAATCAGAACACACCAGAATCAAATTTATTTTTGGAGCTGTCCAGCTGCTGAGTGCAAATTATAATACCAGCTATCCAAGGGGGACTATTGTAGGGTAGTGCATTAAAGCCAGGGGAAAAAAAACCCTCTCCACCTCAATATTTTTTATATTGAAAAAAAAATTGTAATAGTATTTATCAGATAGAGCACTCTGAAAAAAACCCTAACTGTAAGCATTTGGTCCATCTGGCAACACTAAAAGAAGGCTCACTGAGGAAGGGAACTGTGCTTGAAATAGAAATTATGTCTGAAAAAAAGAACTATTTTAAAAATGGATTTAGATGAACTTCATTCATGTGTGTTTATTAAACTTGAAGACCACAGCCTGGAAGTGTGAAAAGCACCTTTTGCTTGTCAAAAATCAAGATGATCTGACATCCGAAGTGTCAGGGTGTGAAGCAACCTACAGGGCTTGGCCCACAGTAAAGAGCTTCAGAAAAAGTAATGAATGCAAAGCGGCTTTGAGGGGCAGACGGGACTCCAGGATGTCGTGATGGCTTAATTACCATGTCCTCACTGACTGAAATCAGTAAAAATACTGCAAGATTTCTGCATGTGTTTTGCAGTTTAATCGTAGTCTTTAAGCTCTGAAAGACCAAGGCACAATGGTTCCAAATATCAGACCCAGGGAATCACCAAAACTGACAATCTGAGTACATTAAGCTGTGTACTTACCATTAGTACCATTCATGCTTCTGTGCATTCATTGATGAACATGTTCCTGGCTCCCAAAAGTCAGCTGCCGCTGTTGCAGACAGAGCTGCAAGCAGCATTCTGTATTTCATAACCCTGAGCTCCATACCCATTATTGCTCCTTATGGCAATTTTAAAGATGTGCTTTATTTAAATAAGCTCTTCTTCATTGAAATAACTGTAGCAGATGTTTTATGTTCTATTTGTTTTGCTATGTGATAGCACTGCAGAGAGAGATTAAATTAACTCCCCAAGTAGCATATTTCTAGGGTGGAACTAAACAAGAAGAAATCAAAGCATATGTCCAAGGGAAAGTCAAGCATGCATTCAAGGGACAGATAGGTTTGCAGTGCTGCCTTTACTGATTCTTTACATGGTGTCATTGTTTGCAATGAAAAGTGTGCCTCACATTCCCAAGACCTGTGTACGTTATCACATTGGTGATAACGGAGTTCAATTAATACTAAAGCTATGGATAACTTATCTTTGTTTTCCTGAACCACAATTCCCTATGTTCCTCTAATGTTCACATGTTTTTATGTATCAATAATCTTTGTCTACTGTACAGATTAATATATATCACAATTAAAAGTGTTATTGGAGAAGGAGTCACACGGCTAGAATGAAATTACTGTTCATTAAAGAACAGTAATAATTTATTTGACAAAATTCAAAAGATTTTTAAAAAATTCTTGTTGACAATTCCTTGAAGTTGGGTCATGGAAACTTCATTACACTACATACACTTTAATAAGCAAGGCTGCCCCAGCAATGTCTCTTCAGAAAATAATAATAATAAAAAGATTATATATTTTAAAGCTTTTTGTATACTGAGAAAATAAGCCCAAACACTGTACGAATTCAGTAGTGAAGTGTCTGTCATGATTTTTCCTTTGCTTGTCATCATTAAAAGAACGATAGATCCACCCACAAGTCACTAGCACCATGACAAACCATGTTATGCCAGGATGACAACTTTTCTCATCTAAAAGAAAAAAGAAGTCAAGAAAATGTCACTGTTCCCAGATTGAAGTCTTCTGACAAAACAAAGCTAATGACACCACAACAGTCTTTCTCAACAGATGCCTTTTACTATAACTTTGATTTGAGAAACATGCTTTGAACACAGGATATTCTCCAAGGCATTAATTAATTAATAGGGATCTCAGGACTGATTCTATTCTCTGCTTTCCAAGTCTGGATTTATGGAGCTATTTTGATTGTATCTCCATTTGAGAACTGAACCATTTTGAACTGAGCCAGTGGGGCAGAACGTATGTAAGTGTGAACTTGAGAACTTGCGCACTATAATGATGTAGGATTTCTTCTGTGTATACAGCACGTTTTTGTGTGGAGTACCTTGTGCCCCACACATGAAAAAAAAAAATAATGCTGTTTGTTTGAATTTCTTTTAGCAGAGCTAAACACTACTTAGGTTGAATTATTTCAGCCTGGAGTAAGTTCTAACAGAGGGCTTGGTTCTTCAAGCTGCTGAGATAGTGAAGTTAAAGCTGCTTGGTATCTCACACAGTTAAACTCAGATGGCAGAAGATAGGCTGACATCACCAGATTGATGATGTCAGAAGACAGAAGACAGAAGATAGGCTGAATTATAACAGAAAGTATTTGCTACATATATTGTATACAAAGAGAATTTATGTTAAAAAAAAAAATCAGTAGAGATAAAGCCAGCTGGAAAAGCTAGGTTGAATGTTTACATTGATGCATCAGGCAGATAAAGCATGAGCTCACAGTTAAGAAAGTGATTATTTGAGATGGTCAACACTTCCATTCCTGCACCTTTAGGCTGAGCTGTCAGTCTGCACACAGCTGAGCCTGAGCTCCCTGTGAGGAGGATTGTGCTGCTGGCATGGTGGTGTCCTCTCAGTCTGCAGCGTGGTTATCCTCAGAGCTCTCAGCTCTCCATTTTGCAGAAGAGGAGCGAAAGCACAGAGAGATTAATGCAGCTTGTGTGAGGTTGTTCTGGAAGTCTGTGGTAGACATAGGATGTGCCAGCTTTCATGCTACCTTTCTGACCATCTGACTGTCCTTTCTCCCAGTCCTGACCAGGAATGTTCATCATTTATTGTCAAAGAAATAACTAGCAGTAGCTATACCTGCTCAGCTAACCTTACCAGCTGCTGTTGTTGCTTTTTGAAATCAACATAAAGTGTTTTCAGATCCCTGCAGTGTGCTTCCATGGTTTCTTAGCTGTGCTAAAAGGATCCTCATGGTGTGCTTCCGTTGTTTCTTAGCTGTGCTATGAAACCCTGACAATCCATATCTCTTCTCTGCAGTGCCGTCCTGCCAGTGCCATCCTGCCAGTGCATGCATATATGTCTCCTTCCAAGGCACATATAGACATGTGCTTCTGTTCTCTTTACACATCTTTTTCATTCCTTCACATAATTTATTCATGCCATTTTGTCATCAAGTATTGTATTTCTGCCCATTCATTATTTAGTGGACAGTAAAGAAATGGTATAACACAGAACAGCACAGCACGAGGAAAAAGTACACCATGGAGTTGGTGGACGGAGTGGTCACATGTAGAAGACTCGAGGCGGTATTCCAGTTTAGTCCCTGCCCTGTCAGATGTTATTGCTTACTAGGGGGCTGATTCTTCAACCGCTTGTGTGCCAAAATCCCACAGATACAGTTTCTGTAATGAGGACTTGCAGTTTCAGATCCTTGGAGAACAAGGTTTTCTCTAGCTAACTGAAGAGGTGCCCCAGGCCTCTCAATCTCTCCGAATGCAGTTGTAGGTGACGGTTCTGTCAAGACACTAAATGACACTTCACTGCAGGCCTGTAATTAGCACTACTGACATGAATGAACCTGTTCACAGGTTTAAAATTAAGCATGTGTACCGTCATTAACAGGATCAGGACCTGAACTGATATGCGCTCTGTGTGTGTGTGTGTTGTGTGCACTGTCACTCAATGCCAAGGTAAGCATTTCTGCTTCCACCACTGTTTTCTTTCAGCTGAATAACAAGACTGAAAAATCCTAAATTAGTATGGGTATGCTAAAAGCTACAGAAAGTTGTTAATAATTTAGAGAATTAATTTACCTCCAGTGGAATTGTACCTTTAAAACATTGTATGTTGTTTACCACAACTTTAAAATGTCTATTTTTTTTTCTTCTCCTATGTCTTATCTGCTGCTGAATCGGGAAGGTGGACAAGATGGCCAGTCTCTACAACATACATGTCCGCACAGGTTGCTTCTGTAATACAGGAGCCTGCCAGATGCATTTGGGTCTAAGCAATGAGGACATCCAAAGGAACCTGCAGGTTAGTTTCTTAATGAGATTACATGATATATTGCCCATGGAAAATACCTAGATTCAGGGGCCCAGGAGACATCTTGTGGCTATCAGTTCTGAATTTCCTAAGGATGGGAGGTTTGAAGGGGAGAAGAAAATCTGACTTTGTATCAAAAAAAGCCCTAATTAGTTAAAAGCTAAAGTAGATATACCATGTCCTGTGGTTTTGAGTCTGCGACTTTAAGAATGACCTTTCAACTCAATTGCCATGTTAAAGAACTAAATGAACTGAAATTCAATTCATTGAATGGAGTGTTGAAACAAAGTCATTTGATGGACCCAAAGCAGTATGTGTTGCTTGTTTTTATTTCATTGGAAAATAAGAAATTGTGGCTTCTTGTTCTGATTTGGAATTACATGAAATCCAGACTTCCTGCAGAACAGAAGTTCCTGGACAATTCATCTCATGTTGTTCCTTAAGTATCCTTAATTGTACTTAATAATGTTCAAGTATTATAGACCTATTGCTGTTGGATGTTACAGTTTAAAAGACATACACAAATTCAACAAGAAACAATAAATGAGAATACACAGTGAATCTCAGAGTCAAGTAAATTTAGATGACGTCTACCTAAATTACTGGTGTGTTAGATTGTTAGAACATGAATGTAAAGACTGTTTTCTAGATGACTAATATTTTCCATAAATTGTCATTAAAAGATGTGTAGCAGGAGGTATTACAATGAAGTGGGGGAGGCTTCATGTCTGCATATTTGTCAGAGTTTGAAATTAGAGTAAATTAACACAGAAAAATCCAAAATTTTATTAATGGTATTCTTCAAAAGGTAAAAAAATTATAATGGCTGTATTGATATTATAGCTCACTTATAATTTCACAGAGACATTTAGATAACTTTTGCAAACACATTTATATGCAAGATTGATAGCACACGTTCTTAAAGGGGGAGAGCTCTTTATTACCTTCCTTGGCAAAATGGTGCTGTGATTTACCATGGAAAGCTCCATGTCCATAGTCTCCTCATGCATAACCTGTCTAAGAGCAGATGAGTGATGCTTGAATTTTCGAGGGGGAGCAGATTCCCCAAGATATTCTGAGAAAGGAAAAAAAGGTCTACCCTTCTGCTGAAGTGCAAAATGCCAAATGACCAGCTGCAATGCTCTTGGATCTCTTTATATAAGGAGGATTTTGCTCAGGAGTGGGTGGCCTCTTATAGGTCTGTATCATGTTAATAAAGCTGAACATTTAAATGGGGACAGGACAACCCCAAACTTATAAAGAGACACTTAATCTGCCAAAAGTGGTGTGATATGGTGGTACAGTCAAGCAGTCACTATTTTGGGACATTCTCATCAGTCCTTTGAGAAGGATCTGGATGAGTTATTGACAGCATTACTGTGTAGGGGAAGGCATCTTTTATCACATTATTTGCACATATACTTCGGTTTCACCTTTTCCCAGGGTGCTGACTGTATTCTTCCTTCCCTGATTAAAATTTCCATGTATAAAATGTCTGTGAGGAAGGACTTTCTGTCCTCAAGGGTCCTTGGAGAAGTGTGGTTAGTTTTCTTAGGATGTTAGGTAGGAACTTGTTTACTTATTTGCACAGCAGGAACCTCTCTCTTCAGTCAGTTAATCAATACTTGGCAGAAGGGTTACACGTATATTAACAGATGCAACCTAATTTTGCAAATGTTGCTTCTGCTCTGTTGTCAAGGATAAAAACTGCATCACACTTCATTAAAATATTTACTACTGTATTGCATGCTTTGACATAGAGGTTTTTTTTTTATTTTCTCCTTGCATAAATGGCATCTGTGTTCACTGAACTGTGACATTTCTTGCTTAAAAAAGCCTTCATGTAAATAATCTATTCACACTTCAATTTTTATGTAACAGAAATGCGTAAATAAATGAAATTCTGAGGGAAAAAAAAAAAAAACAACAACAGCTGCTGCACTTACAGGAATAAGGATGCTGACTTAGGACTAAATCTGGTGTCCATTGGTGAGATACTGTTAGATGGATGAACAAAGGGGGTCTCTAGCTTATCTCACTGGAGGTGAGTGGCAGCATTCACTGAAGGAGGAACTTTGCTCTAAGGGAGAGTTTTGTATGAAAGACATATCAAATGCAGGGGTATCTGGTATGTGGACATTACTATTAGGGTATCTGAAGCATTTTTCAACAAATATTTTTCATGAGTGGCAACCTGTGTTCTTCAAAGGAGGAAATGTTAGGGGGAAGGCTAGTTCCTTTCACCCTGAAAGCAATGTGTTGACTGGATCAGCAAGACAGATTTACTGCATATCCCAATGACGAGGGAAGTCACTTCGGATGTTGGAGCTCTAGATTCAAGTCTCTGCTTTGCTGATATCCCAGACCAGTTCTCAGCTGTATAGCTATCCATTGGACTGTTTAACACAAGCCATGAATTAGCCACTGATAGTATAAAATGGAACTGTTCTGACAGCAAATATCAAGAAAACTGCCCCAGAAAGAGACTGCAGTCTCATGGTTTGTTCACTTATCTGAATGTAATATCCCAGTTTAAATCCCAGTGAACTATGCAGATAAGACTGGAATATACCTGGAAACTGCCCTAGCTAACAGGCCATCCTTGGACATACAAACTTTTTCTGATTCTTGACATGTTTTTGAGAAGTCTCTCTTGCCTTAGGGTAGCTTGGGCAAGCATCTCAAAATTATCTTCTTCCCAGCTTGAGTAAGTAATAAGATAGTTGGGATTTTTTTCTCCTTTTTCTCTTTGTATTCATGAGTTAACTTTGTATTTTTGAAAACAGTTTTTCAGGTTAGAATTAAGAGACTTATTAGTAACTATGTAAGATTAGAGGGAAATAAAGCAAAGTTTGTCATAAATAGCTCTCTGGTTTTCTTCCTATTTCAAACTAGGCTGGCCATGTCTGTGGAGATGATATAGACCTAGTTGATGGACGTCCCACCGGTTCTGTGAGAATATCCTTTGGCTACATGTCTTCTTTTGAAGATGCACAGACTTTTTTGAAATTCATCATAGCCACGAGACTCTCCAAGTTGGACACTGAGGTTCCCTTCCAGTCCTCTGTTGCAAAGCTGACAAAAGAGTCTGTCCCAGATGACCACCCTGCCTTTAACAATGCAGATAAATTGTCTCCAATACCACACATCTTGGACAGAGAACTCAGGAATAATTCATCTGCAACAAAGACAACTGTCAACTGGCAGGCACCGGAGGCTGAGGCAGAAAGCATAAGGGCAGCTGTTTCTGAGACTACAGTACCAACATGTAGAAGAGGTGGCAAGCCCATCACTGTCACCAACATTTACCTCTACCCAATCAAATCCTGCTCTGCATTTGAGGTATATGCTTTGAATAATTTTTAAATATTCATCTCAACCTTGTGTTTTTCCTTACCGCTCTCAGACATATCAACCAGGAATAATATGTGCATGAGATATTAGGAAGCAGTATGTGGGTACCCATTTTTCCTTTTCTCCAGTTTCTAGGATCAAGTCCTGCATGCTAAGGTACTTTGAAGGATTTTCAATTAGATTGAAGTTGCAGGATGCAAATGTGTATTCTGGTCTGCCTTCCCCTCCAACAGACAAATCTGCACATAATATGCAGTCTTGAAGAAAATAGTTGGATTTGCAAAACTTGACTAAAATATAATCAAGTAATTAGTATGCTTTTACAGAATGACATGTGATGGACTTGTAGGTGTTGATGGGTAGGCAGCAACTGAAAAATAACTTGATTAACATGTTATAATTGAGAGGAGACTGATTTACATTACAAAGAAATGTTATCATTAAAAATACATTTGCAACAGAAATATGACATTTAAGTGTTGCTGCACTATTTGAAAGTTCACTCTTTGAAGATTTTAATTGCTTTTTTACCAAGTTAATAATATCGTCACCTTAGCTGTGACTTTTTTTTTTAAATAATGCATGATGAAATAGGTGTATGGCCCACACATGACCTAGAATGTGACTCTGCTTAGTACCATACTGGGAAGTGATTTAATGAATGTCAATATCAGTATAACTTTCCCTATGAAAACTTGCTGGTGTAGGTCACTGTCTCACATCTGAATGAAAATTGGGGTCAAATCCAGTCACAAATCACCTGCATTTAAAATATGGCTTCTCGACTGATTCGGTCATGATTTATTATTTTTTTTCTCAATGCAAAAAGAGGCTGGAGAATTAAAGCAAAGGCAGTTAAATGATCAACAAAACATCTGTATTTTTAAATTTGGTTTGGCTTATGATGTCTTTCATTCAGAGGCACAATTTTGAGCATTAAATGAGACCTGAACAAACAATTTCCACACCTTTTTAACCTCCCACTAAATCAAACTGTTTAGAAAATCAAAGTAATCCCACATTTCATGTGAAAATGTTTTAACCTTTGTTTAGTGTTGCAGTTATTATAGCTGTATTACAGAAGCCCACTACGGAAGATGCTGAAATATGTTGTAGAAGTATTAGGGCCCCTTTGGGGTTAAATTCTATTTTTAATGTGCAGGCTGTTGTTGTGAGATACATACCACGACATTCAGTGCTAGGAAGGCTTTGAAGTGATTGTGCCCAGGAGCAGGTAAGACGTACCTCAGCATGAAAGACAGCTTATGTTTCCCCACAAGCTGAGCCAGGTTTCTTCTCTTCAAGCTCTGTGAGGGGAAATGACTCTAAGTGATAAATTCATACAAACCTGGTACTCCCTGGCAGACAGAACTGCAATTTTATATGGAGGTGGAAAATCCCCATTGCTCATGCATACTTCTTGTGCCAGGCATGTGTTAATGGGCCCAGCGTGAAAGCAGGGTTCATCTTACCTCAACTTACCCCTCCAAAGTTAGATAGTATTCTGTAAGCAGTGAGAGATGGATACCTGCTAATTCATTTTATTGTAAAATAGGCATCTGCAGTAGGAAAAATTAATTTTTCCTGGATATTTCTGTCTCTTTCCATGGACTACAGGAGGAATCCAAGGCAACTTGGATTGCACAGCTAGCACTAGCTGATTTGAATAGTTTAAAAATACAGATATTAAAATTGCAACTATATTATGAGGTTTAGTTTTGCATGCCTACAATCATTTTTTGTATTCTGGTTTGATATTTTTTGATAATAAAGTCTCAGCTGCATTAAAACCCAGTAAGCTAAGCACTGTCAGAGCCTGTATTGCCAAACAGTAATATACAATTAAATATATACTGGCTTTAGTATATGATATTGGAAGGGACGGAAAGTTCACTATCAATAGCATTTAATTCTTCTCCTTCTCTTCTCAAAGAGCATTTTTTGTGCATTTCCACTTAGGTCATAGAAGGTACATGAGTACATGTGAAAGAACAGTGGAAGTTGACCTAATAAATACAATGAAAAGGGGCTTTCAATGCATAAGGAGAGCCGGCCAGGAGATGAAGCCAAAAGATTGATTGACTTTCATTATTTTCAATATTGAAGTAAATCCCCAAAGAAAATGTGTTTGCTTTCATGATCTTCTTCCTGTCCACCAGGCATTCTTCAGGTTTTTTGTTCCCAAAGGTCTGAGTGACCCTTCTAGACCTGTCGTACATTTATAACCAGCCTGTGAAAGATCTGTCAATCTCATTGTCGGCGGAGTACATCACCCTCCACAAATCTATGTATGTCATTACTGCAACTTCAGCCTGTATCACCTTGAAAGGGGAAAAGAATCCATGCCACAGGGCACTGGAGTTTGAAGCAAGACATGCTAGAGAAACCTTACCACAATTAAATGGAATCAAATCTTGAAAATCATTTTGCCTTTTAAAATATTGATTATACCAGCAAGTCTAGGCTTTATCATGAAAAGATTGAATCCCATAGAATAGTATTCCTTTGCAAGTCTCTTAGTGGTCTTTGTCATACAGACCTCACACTTAACATTATATTATCTCCTTACTTTAGTAAACTCATAAAATTCTGAAGTAATAATCACGTAGCTTGTAGTTTCCTTGGTCTTCAGTTAGAAGCCAAGAAATGAAATTCAGTTTCATGTTTTAAATCTAAAATACCTTTAGATGCTTTGTAGTTGTTGGAAAGTTAGAAAAATATTTTCCCAATTAAAAATTTGATCTCCTTTTTTATCAGTTATAAGGTAGCTCTAAGCTAGTCAATGTGGAGAGGTGAAAGTGGTTTAAATATTGGGCGGCAATAAATTCACTCATCTTGTACATGGATACTTGAGATCAGAATCTCATCGATTTGTAAGTTCAAGTGCAGGCCTCCAGCTGGTATGGTAGGTCAGACCTTTAGCATGTATAGTAAATGGGCTTTATTATAAGTACATGATCGCTTGCGTTTGCCTAAAATATGTGCAGTGGAAAATTCCAGCTAACTGTGTGTGTAGGACCCAGCCCATCTGCCAGTGAAGCCTGCCTGCTGACTTACTGGTTGCAGGATATATGACTTGATTAGTGGAGGGAGGACAAACTCGATGAGGATATGAGTACAAACTCACAGCTGTTCGATCTCCTCTTTAGAGTCACATAATCTCCTCCTCTCCTAAACTCTGATTTCTCTGCTCTATTCTAAGTGTTTTAGTATGGGAGGTGCTTGACCTCCAGAGAAAATGAGAGTGCAGGGTGCTTTGGCAGCTGGGAAGATGAAGCTTGGCATGAAGATCAGCTCACTGCAGGTCGGTTCGTTCCTACAGCATGTGCATTTTATAAAGTGTTTCTGTCTACGGGACGGTTTCTGTTCAGTGTTGTTCCATGGGGTTTGTACACACGGCACAGGAAGCAGAGGGCGCAATATTCTAACTCAACTTCTTAAATG